CAAGGATGGATGCTCTAGGCAGAAACTCCTTTAGGGCATCCACTGGAGGTAGAGGAAGCAGTCCTAGAAGGCAAAACTGCAGAAACACAGCGAGGGGATTGGCAGCACATTGGAAATAAGGAGTTAGAGTCTTCTTTAGAAGATCTTCAAGTTGCCTTTATTTTCATGTGAATTATTCAGATGTCTTAGCAGTTCTCAGTGCAATTTGTTTTGTGAAATATATTAGGTATTCAGTGTGGCTGTTTTCAGGTTTATTATGCAATATTCTGATTCATGAAAATATTCCATTAAATGCAATCGCTCATGTAATTACTTTGCTTAATCTAAAGCATACTTTAATTAACATTGCACAGAATTCTGATTTAATCAATTAGATTTGATCTAGTATAACTTAGCTGTAAATACTTTTTATGATGCAGCAGCTCAAAATAATTATTGAGAGCAAAGGTAATATATGACACTACCTAAAACTAACAAATTTCCTGTTAAGAAAGTAAATTATAATTTGAGCTATAATTTTATTATTTAAAAAGTTAAATATAAAGAATAGGTCATTATGTTTCCATTAATAGCCTGTTAAAAACAATCTCATCGGAGAGTGTTAGAACTTAAAAAAATATGCTTTATTTTTGTTTGCATTCCCCAACAGTTAAGCTTGAGAACAAAAGATTAAACTCAGGCAAGATTCACCACTTTTTAGCTTTGTAAATAGGCTTGTTAACATCAATATCTCATGATATTTGTCTACTGTTATGGGTTGAATTTTGTTTCCCCCCAAAATGATGTTGAAGTTCTAAGTGCCTGTACTTCAGAATGTGACCTTATTGGAAACAGGGTCATTGCAGATGTAATTTGTTCAGATGAGGTTGGGTGGACCCCTAATCCAATATGGCTGGTGTCCTTCCAAGAACATGGCCATGTGAGGACAGAAAGACACACAGGGAGAAGGCTATGAGAGAGAGGAGGGCTGAGTTTGAAATTATGTAGTTGCAAGCCAAGGAACTGCTGGCAACCAACCAGAAACTACAAAGAGGCAAGGAATGATTCTCTACAGATTTCAGAGGGGGCAAGGCCATGACCTTGATTTTGGACTTATAGTCTCCAGAACTGAGACAACAAATTTCTGTTGTTTTAAGTCACTCAGTTTGTGGAAATTTCTCATGCCAGCCCTATGAAACTCATATACTCATTAAAACTATCTGAGAGCTATAACTCAACCAGAATCTATAAAATTTATTTTAATCATAGAAGGAAAGGGGGAGGTTCTTGCTAAACAATTAAAAAAAATGCAGGCACCGTTTTTAGTTTGAAGTTAATTTTTACATTCCTAAGCAAGCATTTATATAAATAAAACACTTTTGTTCTCAGCACCCTTCCTCACACATAGCACCTAGCAGAGTGCCTTGAACGTACATTATCCAACAGTACATTTTATGACTTAGTTTTAAAATATTAAAAATGAAAATAGCCTATAAATATTAAAATACCCACTTATAGAATTTGAGCTGTAAAATATATACAGTGCTATAAAAATGTGAGGGTAATCACTAAAAAGAATTTACATGAGGTTCACAAAGGCAAAATTTCATTTTGAATTGATAAGTGGATAATAAAGAAACTATATATTCATTTAGTTTGTGGATTATTCAGATTGTATATTTTCTGTTGGCCTCATTTTGACTTTGAAAAAATACTCAGAACCTACACTATATGAAGGGCAGGGAAAAATAAAATAAATATAAGTTCTTGATATTAACTTGCTAACTGACCTTATTACATAGGGAATGGAATAGATGGAAATTAAAAATATAATAAAAGATTAATTTTGGGAGTTATCTGTAAATTCTCCCCTTGCCCTGAGTGTTTAAGAGTTGTTTAATTTTTGGTGGTTGCAAGGGTGATAATGTTTGACAGAAAGGCATCAACAGACCCCAGCAAAGGATTTAGACAGAGAGAGCTAAGACAGCAGGGGTTACACAGCATGCTCCAAATCAAAGGGTAATTTCCTGGTGTCAGGGGTTCAAGAAGCCATTAGATGACACCAGGTGACTGTGGGCATCTTTGTCAGGTCCTTTGAGAAGCAGCACCTTTCCATTCTTGGGGGTCTTCATAAGCTTCTGGCCCTTCTGGTTATTCTGGATACTTTGGTTTTCACCTGCTCTATGGGTAGAAATAACTAGTGTAAAATAATCCTTTACCTCCAGGTCATTTCTGAGCATTTACGGCAGATGGGGTGAATTGAAGTTTAAATTCCCACGTGTACTATTTCTTAGCAGGACTTTGCCTCAAATCTGCCCGAGATCCATTCCTATAACTGGGACTACAAGATAAAAAGATATATTGGATTTGTAAAGCAAATTTTTTTGAAAAATTAATATTTCCTGATTTTGTACTATATTCTAGGTTTTGTGCTAAGCATTCCACATATAATCTCATTTAATATTTCTTTTAAATTTAAATTTTTTTAATCAAAATAATGCACATTTTATAAACATCAGAAAGACTGGGTGGTGAACAGTTGGGAGTTCACTTTCAAAAACACTCTTCCTGGGCAGCCCGGGTGGCTCAGTGGTTTAGCGCCGCCTTCAGCCCAGGGCCTGATCCTGGAGACCCGGGATCAAGTCCCATGTCAGGCTCCCCGCATGGAGCCTGCGTCTCCCTCTGCCTGTGCCTCTGCTTCTCTCTCTCTCTCTCTCTCTCTGTGTGTGTGTGTCTCTCGTGAATAAATATTAAAAAAACCCCACTCTTCCTTTAAAAGGAATATACTTTGTGTGATATTTGCATAATTAATGAAAATACAAAAACAAAACCAGTCAAATAATGACAAGGTGTATATTAAAAACATCAGTCCTGGGGATCCCTGGGTGGCTCAGCAGTTTAGTGCCTGGCTTTGGCCCATGGTGTGATCCTGCAGTCCCGGGATCGAGTCCCACATCAGGCTTCCTGCATGGAGCCTGCTTCTTCCTCTGCCTGTGTCTCTGCCTCTCTCTCTCTCTCTCTCTCTCTCTCTCTCTCTCTCTCTCTCTCTGTCTCTCATGAATAAATAAATATTTTAAAAAATCAGTCCTCTGCTCCTTCCTTTTTTACTCCTAATTCCCTCTCCTTAGTCCAATCATTCTTAATCTTATTTCTTCCAGAATTTACTTTCTTATGTCTAAATAACATGCATATTCTGATATTAGTTTATTTTTTTTCTTTCAGTTTCAGATGTTGTCTATTGACTTCAAGCTATGGCAGATGAAGATTTAGCTCTCCTATACCCCTCCTCTCACATATATTACTTCTTCCTTTCCTTCAAATATATTATAGTTTTTCATTAAATCCATATTTAGGGCTAACATTATCTTAACTATGTAAGTATTGGTTATAGCTAAGTCATATAGTATACTATGATTATATTTCTTCTCTTCTATAGCTCATTGTTTTCACCAGAGTTGACAACTGTATTTTGTTGTTGTTTACTTGGTTGCTGTGCTTTTATTACTAATTCATCCCCAGATTTACTGATATAAATAAAAATGGCTTCTGAACATGTGTCCTGTTTTGTGTTTATCTTGGAGAACTTCATCTAAGTCTTCAGCTTTCCTTCTCCTGTTCCATCTTGGTGGTTCTCTAAGCCTGGTATACAGCTATTACTGGGACTTTCCCTTTACCATTACCTTGAGATTTTTTTTCCCCTTTCTCCTTCATGGGGCTTCCTATTTTCTGAGATCCTACATCTTTTTATTGCTTTGCTCCCTCAATTTGGTGGAGCATATCCTTCAGGAGGTTCCTGAGAAAGGTTAACAATTTAGGAGCTCAACTTTATGAAAATGTTTGTATTCTACCTTTGGATTTCATTGATCATTTGCTGGGTATAGATTTTTAGGATAGAATTTCTCTTCGAAAACTCTGAAGGCATTTCTCCATTGCCTTCAAACATCACTGGTGTTACAGAGAAGTTTAATGTTACTGTAGTCCTCATTCCTTTGTGATCATTTTTCCTCCCCCTTCTGGAAGTTTTTAGGCTCCTCTTTTCATCCTAGTGCTCATGATGCATCTTGGTCAGATAAATCCTCCAAGAGGATTTGCATTTTCTTCTACGAAATACTGGGAGGGTATAACCAATTTGGGATTAGTCTGAATTAAATTCTTGGCTAGAGGTTTATCAGACCATTTAAGTAGTCTGAATTTGGGTCACAAACCAGTAAAAGCTGACCTATGATTCAGCTGTAGTGTCTCCCCTCTCTACTCTTGCCAAAACTGAAATAGTCAATTTTCAGTTGTTACATAGGGGGTTTATTTGTAATTTAGCCTTACACTGAAGGTATAGCCCTTTGAAACTCCAGAATTCTGGTAAGAGGATCTGTATTAGATTTCCCACCTTGGAGTAGCCTTGGGCTTTATTCTCTGCTCCCATTCTCTAAGATACTATAAAAATCAAAATCTGTACTCACCTGGCTTGACAAATGCTCTCAGAATAATAGTGCACCACTTACCTCACTAGGTGCCTGCCTTCACCTAATGCCTAGCCTGAGATTTTCTTACACTTTTGTTTGATGTTTTAAAGATGATTTTAAAAATTATATTTTATCCAGAAGTTGTAGTTATTTCCAGCAGTCCAGATACCTATCTTGTTATATTCCTGGAAATGGAAATCTATATCACTTTTCTAAGTCTCAATTTGCTCATCTGAAAAATGAGGATAATAGTAGTATCTACTTCATAGTATTTGAGCAATACAAGAGATTATTAGTGTAAAGCTCTTAACGCTCTGGCACCTCAATTAATGTTTACTTCTATTTTTGTAAATGGTATTCTCAGAGTCTAAACATGAATGCTCTCTGTCTTGCTATATTTTTTTTTATGTATATCATGCACTAATGCCAGGGGGTGAAGATATGAAGAATCTGAGGTCTTGATAAGTTGTATATTTATTAATAAATATAGCTCTCCCCATTTCAAAAGTTTCCATTTCAAATGAAAACCAAATGATTAAACATTAGTAGCATAGATCTTAATTGAGAAAAGGAGATTTATTGCAGTAAAATCCTTGATTTATACATTTCTTGAGACAATAGAGTTTGAAAATATCCCCCCTCCCCTTAATCAAATAGGACTCTAAAGGGTATAAAATGGATGCTTTCTCTTACAGCAAAATAGGCTATGCTCAGATTTTTTAACCAATTTTTTATTGCCACATAAATTGCATAAGTAGGTGCTTTTAAAGTCCACAGGTATGTTCATTCTAAGAAGTTGTCCTTCTCTTTAAAGACAATTTCCACCCATTGCCAAGTAGCTCTTGCACAGAATCTGCTCTCTGTTTGGTGGTTGACCTGGCTCGTGAGTGGTCTCAGGGACATTTCTTTAGTAGGTGCATTGTGATATTCTTCACAGCCAGCATGGTCTCTGTACAGGTTGGTTTGATGAGCATCTCTGGAAGTAAAAATCCAAAATGTCCAGTGTCACGAAGTTCAAAAGCAAATGTGTAGGGTATTCCATTTTTGTAGGCCCAGTCCATTGAACTACCAGAGCTCACATCTAAAAGTTAAAAAAAAAAAAAAAAAAGAGCCTCACTAAAGAATCTGCATAATTTTCAAAGTTTACATATAGTCCTTGCTTACTAGGCTACCCTAAATCCTTCCAATTAAACACTACTTCAACAAGAACGATTTAACAGTAGTTCCTTGGCACATTAGGCTCATGGAACTTAAAAATCCTACCCGCCATCATCTTTGAGGATCTAGTTTAGGTAGTAATACTTTTCCAGTGCGATGATCTCAAAATTTCTCAGCCTCAATTCCAATAATATTTATCTCCATCCTCACTCCAGTGACCCATAAGCGAACTAATCCCTGGCCCAGTTTCTCTGCTTTCACTCGAGAGAAAGCTGGAGAGTCTTTGCTGTGAAATCACATTAGTCACTGATGTCTTTCTCTGTTCTCAACACTGCTCCAGGCTTCTTTTTCTAGACCTTCACTTACTGAACCTTTCTCTGGCTCTCATAGTCCTGCCCCTCATTTACCATTGTCCCCATGTCCATAAAAGGTAATCATCCCACCACCTTCTCTACTGACATCATAGCCCTCGGGCTATCCTTCCAGCTCAGAAGAGGAGCTTTTGCTTTTTATTTTGTTTTGCTTTTTGTTTTTACACGTCGTCTTTGATTTCATTCATCGTCTTCCCTGGTAGTGAGAGGGTCCATTTTCCAGGACCTAGTTTAATCAATTAAAACACCTTTTGTTGCATTTGCTTTGACCAAAATGTTCAAGCACCGATTTTCTATGGCATTTCCTTCTCATGCTACATACCATCCTTTTTTTTTTTTTTTTTAACTTTGTTCTTTTGCTTTAGAACACAAAGAGAATCTATATATGTTGCCTCTATATCCTCAACCACTTTCAATCTGGTTCTTGCTCTACCTATGAAAACTTTGTTCTTGAAGGTAACCAGTGACAGCAGGCTAATCTCCTTTCTTGTTTTGTCCCCCCCACCCCCCACAGACCTCACTTTCAACCTCTCCACAGTATTTAGTATAGGTAATAATCCATTGGCAATTCTCTCTTTCTGGCTCCTATGACCTCACACGCTCCAGCTTTTCAGCACAGGTTGAAAGTACAGGCATAGGGACAGACTAAGGGCTTGAGCTGTATCAGATCCCACCACCTACTGTGACTTGTCTGAGCCTGAATCTCCCCTTTAGAAAAAGGGATGATATTACCTACTACAGTGTTGTTGTGGAAATTAAACAAAATAATGTGCCAGGATATAAGCCCTTATTAATTTGCATCTTTATACCCCAAAGTGCCTAGTATGTAATTTTTAAGCATAATAAGGTTCTTCATAATTATAAATTTTTATAGAAGAATCTTTATAAACTTTTTTTCATGCAGTTAATATGATTCAGACTGACCTAACATTGTTATTAAAAATTTTTCTGAGCATGTTCATCTGCTCAAATAATGCCCTTTTTATGCTATTTTTGCCAGGACAAGTTAGGGATAAATAATGTTAAGATGACAATTAAATGGCTCTGTTATTCTTCAGGCTCCCCTGGCTTTGGTTAAGGACAGAAGGTAGGCTGTGGCTTCATTGTCCTTCTGGGTTAGAGTACACTGGAACTGCAAATAGTAGTCACAGAAGCCAAAGTCAGAGGCAACATGTGCCAAAAGTTACATCATGGTGATGTGATAGCCTCATTTGTATGGTAGCAGGTTGTCCTTGGTATAATACCATGACTGTGCCTTGATATCAAGCAGAAAAGGTAAACTGTAAGATTTTTAAAAAATTAATGTTTAAATTAACATATATTAGTAATAATTAGTGATATGATTTTAAAAAATACTGTTTCCTTTTTCAGTATGAAAAACAATTCTAAAAAGGTCAACATGAGACCAATGATTATAGACTTTGAAAACAATTCTAATATTTAAGGCATTCTCATTATTAGGATAAACTTATTTGATAAGCAATGTTGGTTGACAAACCAAACTTTTCTTTGAAGGTTGAAGAAAGTGAATGGTTAGGAATATAATAATTTAACCTACCGTTAAAGGAATCAAGGAGAAATTTGATACTTCACTGAAAGCAAAATTGGATGTCACTATCTAAACATATACATACAACCTGTGTGTGTTTGTGCATAGACATTCAGATATATATGGTTTCTTGTTAGATTTTCCAAGTCATATAATTAAAAATGTTAGAATTTGAAAGGCCATGGGAGATGACCTAATCCAATTCCTTACTTAACTGTCGTGGAAGCTGAAGCCCAGGATTAATATTTTGGTGGCAGAATCAGGACTAGAGTCCATGTCTTCTGATACTTTGTTCAAGTTCTTTCCATATACCTAGTTGCTCTTTATTTCAATTAACTATTAGCAAATTGAATTCAACAGTACAATAAAGAAATTATTCACTATGATCAAGTGGGATTTATTCTGGCTGCAAGGGTGGTTCACTACTCACAAGTCATCAATGTGTTATACCATATTAATAAAGGAAAGGATAAGAACTATATGATCCTGTCAATAGATGCAGAAAAAGCCTTTGGCAAAATACAGCATCCTTTCCTGATAAAAACTCTCAACAAAATAGGGATAGATAGAACATACCTCAACATCATGAAGGCCATATACAAAAGACCAGCTAATATCACCCTCAATGGGGAAAAAGAACCTTTCCCCTATGATCAGGAACAAGACAGGGATATCCACTCTCACCATTGCTATTTAACATAGTACTGGAAGTCTTAGCCTCAGCAATCAGGCAACAAAAAGAAATAAAAGGCATCCAAATTGGCAAGGAAGAAGTCAAACTTTCACTCTTTGCAGATGGCATGATACTTTATGCAGAAAACCCTTAAGACTCCACCAAAAACTGCTAGAACCCATAGATGAATTCAGCAAAGTTGCAGGATATAAAATCAATGTTCAGAAATTTGTTGCATTTCTATACACCAATAACAAAGCAGCAGAAAAAGAAATCAAGGAATTGATCCTATTTGCAATTGCACCAAAAACAATAAGATACCTAGGAATAAATCTAAAGAAGTAAAAGACGTGTACTCTGAAAACCATAGAACACTTATGAAAGAAATTGAAAAGGACACAAAATGGAAAAACATTCCATGCTCCTGGATTGGAAGAACAAAACTGTCAAATGTTTATGCTACCCAAAGGAATTTACATATTTAGTGTAACCCCTATCCACCAGCATTTTTTTATGGAGCTAGAACAAACAATCCTAAAATTTATATGGAGCCATAAAAGAGCCTAAATAGCCAAAACAATTCTGAAAAAGAAAAACAAAACTGGACGCATCATGAATCTGGATTTTAAGATCTATTACAAAGCTGTAGTCATCATGACAGTATGGTACTGGCACAAAAACAGACATATAGATCATTGGGAAAGAATAGAGAACTCAGAAATGTACTCACAACTATATGGTCAACTAATCTTTAGCAAAGCAGGAAAGAATATCCAATGGAAAAAAGCCTCTTCAACAAATGGTGTTGTGAAAACCAGATAGAAACATGCAGAAGAACGAAACTGGATGACTTTCTTACATCATACACAAAAATAAATTTAAAAAGGATGAAAGAGCTAAATGTGAGACAGGAAACCATCAAAATCCTAGAGGAGAAGACAGGCAGAAAAGCTTTGACCTTGGCCATAGCAACTTCTTATTAGACACATCACCACAGGCAAGGAAGACAAAATAAAAAAGGAACCATTGGGACTTCATCAAGATAAGCAGCTTCTGCACAGTGAAGGAAACAGTCAACAAAGCTAAAGGCCAGCCTATGGAATGGGAGAAGATATTTACAAATGATCATCTGATAAAGGGTTAGTATCCAAAGTCTACAAAGAAGTTATCAAATTCAACACTCAAAAAACAAATAACCCAGTTAAGAAATGGGCAGAAGACATTAATAGACACGTTTGCAAAGAAGACATCCAGATGACTAATAGACAAATGAAAAGGTGCTCAACATCACTCTTCATCAGGGAAATACAATCAGAATCACGATGAGACCACCTCATTCCTGTCAGGATGGCTAAAATTAACAACACAGGAAACGATAGGTGTTGGCAAGGATGTGGAGGAAGGGGAACCTCTTGCACAGTTGGTGGGAAGACTGGTGCAGCCACTTTGGAGAACAGTACGGAGGTTCCTCAGAAATTTAAAAATAGAAGTATCCCATGATCCAGCAATTATACCACTAGGTATTTACCCAAAAGATACAAAAATACAAAATTGAAGAGGTACATGCACCCTGATGTGTATAGCAGCATTATCAACAATAGCCAAACAATGGAGGGAGCCCAATTGCCCATCAACTGATGAATAGGTAAAGAAGAAATGGTGTATATACACAATGGAATATTACTCAGCCATCAAAATGAAATCTTGCCATTTGCAATGATGTGGATGGAACAAGAGTATTATGCTAAGTGAAATAAGTCAGTCAGAGAAAGACAAATACCAAATAATCTTACTCATATGTGGAATTTAAGAAAGAAAACAGATGAACATATGGATTGGAGGGGGAAAAAAGGAGAGAAGGAAACAAGCCATAAGAGACTCTTTTTTTTTAAAAAAAGATTTTATTTACTTATTTGTGAGACAGACAGACACACACACACACACACACACACACACACACACACACACACACGCAGAGACACAGGCAGAGGAAGAAGCAGGCCCCATGCAAGGAGCCTGATGTGGGACTTGATCTCGGGACTCCAGGACCATGCTCTGGGTAGAAGGTAGGTGCTAAACCACTGAGCCACCCAGGGATCCCCAAGAGACTCTTAACAATAGAAAGCAAACTGGGTTGATGGAGGAAGGCGGATGGGGGATGGGCTAGATGGGTGATGGGGATTAAGGAGGACACTTATTTTGATGAGCACTGTTTTCTTTTTTTTTTCTTTTTTTTTTTTAGCACTGAGTGTTTTATGTAAGTGATGAATCACTGAATTCTACTCCAGAAACCAATATTGCAGTATATGTTAACTACCTAATATCCAAATAATAAATTTATTTTAAAAAGCAAAAAAAAGGAGAAATATTTTAATCACCTTTTAAGGGGAAATTCGGTTGAAGGGGTTATGCAAGAAATACAGTTTTATAACAAGAATGGTGGAGGAAAAGAATAAGACAAAAGCTCTTTTAGGGCTGAGACATTACTTCATTATCTTCTCAAGGCCCATTTCCACCCTTATAGTAGTTACAATTGCTTAAGGAGCCCATTTGGATACTTTCTACTGTCATAAGATCTCAGTTCAACTTTGTAGTCATTACTACATGCTTAGAATGTTCTCTGCTTAGAATTTATTTCAATTGGTACAGTGATTTCTGTCAAGCAGTGTAAAACTAATCAAATATAAACTCCCTCCATCTTCCTCTGCTAATTCGGTTGTCAAAAATTTCTCATTAAGGGGGAACACACTTCTGTTTTTCTAAAGGAAGTCATTTTACAGGATCTTGGTTCAAGAGATGATTCTAACACAAAATATGCAGGAAACTTACACAATGTGGTGGAGGCAGGTCCATATCGATATTGTACTCCATATACCGACTGAAGTGCATTCACAGCTTTATAAGCTGCAGATTCCTGTGAGGGAGAAGGGAGCACTGATATCACTTTACATCATTGCACTGAAACCTATGGAAGCACTGGCATGTTGTCTTCAATTTGGAGAGCAAGGTTGGGCACATTAAATCATAGTTAATAATAGTAGTAATAATATTTCTTGTCACATGCTGTTTACAATGTGTTTGAGAACACGTTATTTCCTTTTATTATTTTTTAAAGATTTTATTTCTTTATTCATGAGAGACACAGAGAGAGAGAGAGAGAGAGAGAGGCCAAGACACAGGCAGAGGGAGAAGCAGGCTCCATGCAGGGAGCCCGGCATGGATCTTGATCCCAGGTCTCCAAGATCATGCCCTGGGCCAAAGGCAGGCACTCAACCACTGAGCCACCCAGGCGTCCCAGAGAACACGTTACTTCCTTTGATTGATCCTTATACCAAGCCAGTGATGAGTAATATTTCCATTTTACAGACAAGAAAAGAAAGGCTCAGCAAGGTTAAATGGGCAGGCTAGGGTTACATAGCAAGGAGTGGTTGAGTTAAATACTCCTAAATTCTGATACTGATTTAGTATCCTGTCCTCTTCACTTTCATTCAGAAAGAATGATTTGCTTTTATAAATTACAAAATGCTTGCTGGGCAGAGCCCATGTCAGTCTTTCTCATAGCTACATATGCATTATTTAGCAACGTGCCTGTGTATAACAGATGCTTAGTCAATAGTTCTTGCATGAATGTTGAATAAGCATAGCTCTGCAAGAGTATCAAGATAATCTTATTGATCCTTAAGTACATACTTTAGTGGCTATGTACAAGGTATTTAAAACACATTTGGATCAATTAAAAAACCCTTTAGTTCAGGAAGAGCAGCTTCTCTTACACTATTCATGTATCCCTATGGGAATGGGAATAACAATTGTAGAATGCTCCATGACTTCTAAAGTTACATATGCTTCTGACAGAGCTTAGGTACCGCTGAGATGTAGATATTTTGAGGTGGAACTCTTCCTATCAATGCCAAAAATCAGGAAAAATGATCAACACAATAAAAACACTAAAAGGTGAATATTCTAACATGAACCAAGATGATACTGACTACACTTCAAAACATTTTCAAATGGTATAACAGCATTAGTTTCCAGAAAGAGTTAGAGAAGTATTGTATAACCAGTGAGAGGAAAAGAAGTATGTTGAAACCAGTATACAGTTCTCCCATTTCAATTTCAACTTGCCTATGAATAATTTATGATATCAGTTGAAGTACTCTGGGCAACATGGTGCCGTGTGTTGGCTCTAGCTTCAGTTTGCTGTCCTCATTCACCTCAGGGATGCATAAAGCAGCATCTGCAGCAAATGCCACTGTTTGTGGATATTAAGGGACCGGGCTCCAGAACCTGGCAGACAATTTATTCTTGATCTCACTGATGATGACATTCTCCTCTCAGGAGCCAACAGAAAAGGGATGTAAACACCATAATAAGATACCTTTATGGAGAATGTTCTGAGATTTTAACCTCTTCTCCAATGGTTTCAGCAGAATTCCATGGCAAGGGCAGATATTTCTACATTTAGAAGATTACTGTGTTCTTCTGGTGGGGGAGAATTTTGTTCCTCATTATTTTGGATACCCCCCCAAACTCCCCCCAAAAATCTATTAAGAAAAAAAATACAACCACTTGGCCTATTTATACAAAACATATGCATAGTTTAGTCTTTTGAGCTTATTGCATTCCTGTCACTCAGGGGCAGGTGCCTATTGACAAGAGGGTTGGATATGGTCATTCCACAATAAAGTGAAAACTTCATAAAATTTTCTAGGAATTATTTTCCAGGGTGGTGTGGCTAGATACCTATTTGAAAGAGTTTAAGCAATTCCTCCTTTCTTTATTGCTTCCTCTTTTCAGTTGTTCAAAAGGATCCAGGCCTCACTTTTTGAACCTCAACTAGGCAAGGAATACATTTTTTATTCAAATATTTCCGTATTTGAAGCAACTTAATAATAATGCCCTAAAAATATTAGCAGAAACACAGACTCCTACACATTGATGGGATGTTTTTGAACAATTTATTAGAATAGAATGGTTTCTGGTTAACATTCAGAGACTACTGAGTTTCTGAGGATTTTAATCTTGGTTTCAGTAACTTAGCTTATATGTAACTAGGTAGCAGGATTTCTCAACAATGTACTATTGACAGTCTGGACTGACTAATTCTTTGCTGTGGGAGGCTGTCCTGTGCATTATAGGATGTTTAGCAGCATCCTTGGCCTCTATCCACTAGTTGACAATAGCATCTGCCAGCCTTGTTGTGACAATCAAAATGTCTTCAACATTGTTCAGTGTCTCTGGGAGCCAAAGTCATCCCTGGCTGTGAATCACTGATATATTCTTTATTCCACATCCTCCAATCCAAGAAAAAATGAAAATAGGCTTAACTTCTGGTAGAAAGCTAAAATTCAAAATATGGAGAATATCCTCATGTGATAGTTTTAATATATTGCATACTCCATATAATCTGTTGTGAGAATATCAATAGACACTGTGCCCAATTTAGAAAGGGCTGAACATTTGCCTGGAGAAACTTTGTGTGATAGAGGGTAGTTAAGGTGCCACGTTAACAACAACAACAACAGCAAGTCTATTTGATCCACAGTGTAGCTGGAGAATAGCACTCTTAAAAAGAACGACCACCTTTACACAATTTCTCAAGAGAGAATTTGCTCAGAATTTTTGCTTGGAATGCCGAAAACAAAGTTCTTCTCTTGGACAGAATAGAAGCCTTCCCTCAGGCTTTCTTCTGACCTCCTCATGTTCTCCATTCCTCCCAGGTCCTGGACATCCACGTCAGGAATTCCTACAACTCCAACCAATTGCTGAAAGATTTAGAAGGTATAGGAAGAAAGGGGATGCTTCTCTTTTATCTAAGCTTTTACTTCAACTGTAACATACATAGAGAAGAAGATACCCATTTTCAGTTTATAGCTCAATGAATGAGCTATACGTTATACGTTACACACACATGTAACCAGCATCCTGGCCAAGATATAGAACATCCACAGCAACCCAAAAGCTCTCCTTTCTATACCTCCTCCTAACCACTGTTCCCTTCCTCTTCCTCATTTCTAATACTAAATATTAGTTTGGCCTGCTTTTGAATTTTATAGACCTTTAGATGCAAGAGGCTCTGAATCAGACTCATTTTACAAAGAATTTTGCCCTACAGCGGATAGCTTGTTGGTTTTCTGAGATGAGGAGAGAAAGAAACTCTGCTTTTTCACTGCCAAGTAATCTTATGCCTGAAGGGCTGTTCATTCTTAGCACTAACTTGTCAGATACATGCCCAGAGACTTAGTACCATTAAGCAAATAGCACTTATAAATTAAAACTCGCTTTTAATTAATGAGAGTCAGACTATAATTTATGAACAATTATTTACCCAATAAAATTAATTATAGCCCTGCATATGTGACCGAAGCTGTAACACTAATCAAATCCATCTTGACATCTTTCTGTATAACCTGTGGTAAGAATGTAAATTGGTTTGAAATGATTGCATTTGAGAAGCAGCATAGCACAGAGATTAAAAGTGACAATGCTGGAGCTAGATATGGGGCTGAATCCCGGCTATGGCACTTAGTAGCTGTGTATTCTTAGTCTAATTACTTAATTTCCCTAGGTTTCACTTTTCTTATCTGTAAAATGGAGGAAAATAATACTTACCTACTTCATATGATTATGGAAAATAAATGAGTTAATATGTAAAAAAATGCTTATTAGAATAAACACAATATGTGTTTGCTATTACCATTACCACTTAGAACCACTTTAGCTTTAGTAAAGAAGCATAAAGCCTGACACGTATGTACAAGGTCAAATACTTACCACACAACTAAAGTTAGGGATTGTTGCGTATTTGTAAGAATAGGGATACAGCAACATCTGAGCATATGCATGAAAGGAGAGGTAAGCCCTAATGTGCTTCCTGTGTTTTCGGAGGAAGGTGGCTACAGCTTTCACTTCTGGCTCAGATTCTGGGAAAGGTCCACAGTATGTATCATCACAAGGGTGCATGGAAGCTCCTTCATCTGAAAGACAGAAAAGAAAATGAGGTGAAGGAGTGGATAGGCAAGAAGCAAGGAACACAAATCAGCATTGTTAAATTGGTTTTCCCTTTACTTTCTATAAACATATGGTGTTATTAAACAATTCATCTAACTTCTCACCTACCGAAACCAACACTGAAAAATCCAAGGTACTTCAAGCCTCCTTGCACAATAGGAGGGTGGCCTGAATAGGAAATAGGTGCTGACTGTTTAAATGAGTCTGCATAAACCACTTGAAAGGGATGGCTTTATCAGTGGGAGACCAAATTCCACATGATCCCCCAGAGCAGGTAAGGCTCCTATACTTGATGATATCTGCACTTTTCCTCCATAACATTTAATATGCTTGTAATTAGTGTCCAGTATTTACCCGCTTAACATTCAACCAATATTTACACTGTTCTAGGTGCCTGGTATACAATGAAAAACATCACAGAAAAAAACTCCCTGCTCTCATAGAAACTACATTCAATCTGGATCCTTTGTTAAACTCTAATGCTCTGTGAAAGCAGGGATTGTGTCTTTCTTGCTGGGTACCTGGCAACTAGAACAACAGTATGGCAAGTGTTCAACAAATATTTGTCAAATAAGTGAATGTCAGATCAATAGAAAAGGCTAGACATTTGCACAGGTGTCTGGTAAGATACAAATATTGAATATCCCAAGTATATAGCAATTTGTATTAAGAACATGAAGGCAGGGCAGAAATAACTCCAACAAAAGATGCCAAAACAATTTCTATTATATTTTTAGACAAGCAATATCCAAACTGGTTTTGTAAAATGCAAGAGGCTTTTCTAGTTATCTCAGGAGTCATTAAGAATTCAGTTAAGAAATCCTCAAAACTAAATTTTACTAATTTTTGAATTAAAAATTTTATATCCTTATAGGCCTATGAAGGGGAGGAAGGAAAATAACATTTACTGAAACAATCACAAAGTATTAAAGTTCCAAGACATTTTTACATTTATAAATAATTACATTTTCTACAGTTATTAAGCATCAGTCATTATTAGCCTTCCCAATAGGGCTAGAAAACTGTTTCTTTTCATAGCAAATGGAAAATGTTTGGTGATTATGTGACTTGGTCTAATTCTACTGAATATGAAAAGATAACCAAATCAGATCAAGCTAAATCTTGAGGACATTAAATCTAGTTTGTGTTATAAGTGAGTTAAGATGGGAAATTTACAGCCATTAAGGTTTTTCTCCTTTGAGTCTAATTCTGGACGTGCCTTAGAAGTAAGTGGGATATAGACGGAACTCAGAATATAGTATAAAAACAATAGCTGATACTCTGAAAGGATTAGGACAAATAAAGAGACATTTGAAGAACAGTGCTGTAAAGCTCCAGAAAGGAGAGATCACAGACTGAATTACTAACTCCAGAGGGAGCAGAACTAATGAGCCAGAGAAAAAAGGATTTACAATAATCCCAATAAATATTCTCAAGGGCATATAGAAGGGCATTGGAAACACTAACCAGGGGTAAGATGTTATAAAAAAGTACCAATCAGATATAATATAAATAAAAAACTTAATTCATGGGTTGAAAGAATACAGTTGATGAGTGAATTAATGAGATGGGATATGTTTAGAAAAATTCCCAGAAGGCATCAAGAAGAGACAAAGAGCTAAAAAAAAAGAAAGAAAGAAAAAAAGAAAAAAAATTAAAGGGGTAGGAAAAACAGAAGTGTCAACATCTGATTAATATGGACCCTAACAGAGAAAGAAATAAAAGTTAAATATTTGAAGAACTGCCAACCGAAATTTTTCCACAATTAGGGATAGATTGAATGGACTTATTGTGTACAAAATAAGAGAGATAAAGGGAAAAGATGTCCACACTTTGACAGACTAGGGTGAAATTTAAGAAAAAGAAACAATTTCATAGAGAAAGAAGCAGCTCATCTATAAGTACAAGAATTAGATTCACATCTGACTTTTAATAGTGACACTAATATTTCCAAAGTATATTTATATACATATTTACTTATTTATTATTCTTACAGTTTTATTTATATTTTAAAATTAGTTAAACGCTTAAATTGAGGTATAGTATACAATATTATATTAGTTTCAGATGCACAACATAATGAATCGACAATTATATACATTACAAAAAGCTCACCACAATAAGTGTAGTTACCACTGGTTACCGTACAAAGTTATTACAATATTACTGACTATATTCCCTATGCTGTATGTTATATCCTGGTGACTTATTTATGTCATAACTAGAAGTTTGTATCTCTTAATTCCCTTCACCTATTTAGCACATAACCCACCCCCACTTTCTAGCTATTGTAAGTAATGCTGCAATAAACATGGGGGTGCATATATCTTTTTGAATTAGCATTTCTGTTTTCTTTGGGTAAACATCTAGAAGTGGAATTGCTGGATCATGTGCTATTTCTACTTTTAATTTTTAAGTACCTCCGTACTTGTTTCCATAATGGCTATTATCTTGGATAATGTTGCAGGTGCATTTGAATGGAATTGTATTCTGCTGTTTTTGGATGGAATGTTCTGTATGTATCTGTTAAGTCTACATGGTTTAATGTGTCACTCAAAGTGACTGTTCCTTATTTATTTTCTGTCAGGATGATCTATTGATTGATATAAATGGGGTGTTAGAATCCCCTACTATTCTGCTATTACTGTCAGTTTCTCCCTTTACGTCTGTTAACATTTGCTTTATATATAATCAGGTTGCTTCTTGTGTTGGGTGCATAGATATTTATAAGTGTTATATCATCTTGTTGGGTTGATTCCTTTATCCTTATGTAATACCCTTCTTTGTCTCTTGTTACAGTGTTTGTGTTAGGATCTATTTTGCCTGGTTTAAGTATTGCTACCCCAGATTTTTTCTTGCTTCCATTTACATGGTATATCTTTTACCACTCCTTTAACTTTCAGTCTGTGAATCTTTTTGTCTGAACTGAGTCTCTTGTAGGCAGCATATAGATGGGTCTTTTTAAAAAAATCCATTTAGTTACCTTATGTCCTTTGACTGTAGCATTTAGACCCTTTATACCATTTGCACTTTGAGTAATTGTTGATAGACAACTACTTATTACCATTTTGTTATTTGTTTTCTGGTTGTTTTTGTAATTCTTCTCTGTTTCTTTTCTTCTCCTCTTCCCTTCTGATTGGTCACTTTCTTTAGTCCTATGCTGGGATTTTTTCTCTTTTTTGTCTATCTATTATAGGTTTTGATTTGTGGTTGCCATGATGTTTGTATATAACATCCCAAGTATATAGCAATTTGTATTAAGTTGATGGTTTTGAGTTTGAACACATTCAAAAACACTACATTTTTACTCCTTTCCTTCCATGTTTTACATATACATCATATTTTACACCCTTTTATTTTTTGAGACCCTTAACTAATTTTTTTAGATATAATTGATTTCACTACACTACTTCTGTCTTTTAACCTTCATAATAGCTTTATAATTGATTGATTTACTACCTTTACTATGTATTTGCTTTTACTAATGTTTTTAATAATTTTCTTACATCTAGTTATGGTCTCTGCTTAAAGTCCTTTTGCATTTCTCATAATGCCAGTTTAATGTTGATGATCTTCTTTAACTTTTGTCTAGGAAACATCTCTCCTTTAGTTCTAAATGATAACCTTGCTCGGTAGAGTTTTCTTGGTTGTAGGTTTCTTTCCTTTGAGCATGACTCTCTTCTGGCCTGCAAAGTTTCTGCTGAAAAATCAGCTGATGGTCTTATGAGGTTTTCCTTGTATATAAGAAGTTGCTTTTGTATTTCGGCCTTAAGATTCTAATTTTAATTTTTGACATTTTAGTTACTATGTATCTTGGAGTCAACTTGCTTGGGTTCATCTTGTTTGGGTTCTCTGTGTTTCATTTCCCAGGTTAGGAAAGTTTTCAAATATTGTTTCTTTAAATTAGTTTTCTGCCTCTCTTTCTCTCTTGTCCTTCTGGGATTCCTATAGTACAAATGTTACAATGCTTGATGTTGTCCTAGAGGTCCTTTAACCTATCCTCATTTTTAGAAATTCTTACTTTTTGCTGTTCAGCTTGAGTGCTTTCCACCACCTTGTCTTCCAGATCGCTGATATGTTCTTTTCTATTCTCTTATTTGCTGTTGATTCCCTGTAGCATATTTTTCATTTCAGTTATTGTATTCTTCAACTCAGATTGGTTATTTTTTATATTTTTCTATCTTCTTATTGAAGTTCTCACTGAGTATCCACTCAAGTCTGGTAAACATCTTTATGATCATTACTTTGATTGCCCTGTGGGGTTGGTGGGGCCCAGGGTGCCCTGGGCAGGGCTTTCTCAATGGGATGGCTACAGCTGGGGTGGGGGCAGGCCTGAGTAGCTTTGGTGGGATGGTTGGAGCTGGAATAGATGTGAATGTTGGAGCCCAACTTGGTGGGGGGAGGGGCGGGCTGGTAGTGGTGTGGACTAGGGCTTGTTGATAGGCTAGCTAGAGCACCAAGCTCTTGCTCCCATCTGTACTATCTAGGTGGAGAGGAAATGAAAACAATGGCACTAGCCAGCACCTCTGACATCAGAAAGGATTTAAGTGGTTCCCTCATTGTTTGCCTGATGCCCTAGGGTTAGAAGATTATGTCTACTGCCCTTCAAACTGTTATTTTGCTGCTCCAATTGGGTGAATCTGCAGGTAGGACCCGTCAATGATGCCCCTTTCTGCTGAAGTTCATAGCATTGGGGCTGGGGTTCCTATCATTATCATGTCTCAGTCTTTCCTTTCTTGGCAGATGCTGTGTAGTCACTTCAGTTTTTCTTCAGGTGAGTTACTCTAGATGTAGGTACAAATTCAGTGTCCAACAGAGGAGGTGAGTTTAGGGTCTTCCTATGCTGCCATCTTAGACCTTTCCCTCCTCATTTAAGAAAAACTTTTGCTGTACAGCATGGGTGCTTTTTCAACCCTATTTTCCAGGTTGTTTATTCATTCTTTTGCATCTTCTAATCTGCCTTGAT